TGTGTACATCAATGACACATACCCACATGAGTCACACCTACACCTAGCATTGGTAGTCGGGCATTATAGCTGGCTTCTGTGTTCTTCGCCTATAGCAGCCCCCTTTCCCATAAGGCAAGCAGATCTACTAGTACCCCCCTAACCCCCCCCCCCCCTCCACAAAACAAAAGGCTCACCAAAGTGAGAAATCTGCATATAAGGGAACCAAAAGAGCACCAAACATTTGTCTCAAGAATCCAAAAAGTCCTTTTTTCTTGTCACAAATAATAATCTCAAAAGTGTTTGATAGTATATATAGATATAATATACTGCAGTTTTAATATAGATATAAACTCGCATGTTTGCACCAGCAGGTTAATGCAGGGTGAAGAATACACCTGATGTATTATTTATAAATAGTTTTAAACCCTTTTGAGTTCAGGCCTTCTTCAAGCCCTGATGAAGGGGGAGTTTTTGGAACCTTCATTCTGAACCCTCTTTTTTTCATGAGAGTCCTGGGTCTGATGGTAGCCTCTTTCAAAGCATTCCCATTTGCCCAATTTCACTCCAGCATCCTGCACTGAACTAGTCCCTGGATAGACCCACTGGTCTGTGATTGAGGACCAAGTTGTCGCTGGCTTGGTTGCTTGGGAATCCAGCTGTGGAGTCAGAGAAGACCTTCCTTCCCATCTTTTGGAGGATCCTCGCCAATAACATCAGCCTGTCAGACTGGGGCAAAGTCAGGTTTCTGGCCTTTTGGATTCTGTTTCAAAAACCATTGTCATCTCTGTCACGTACCTTGGTTGAAGGCCGAGTCAACGAGAGGACTGCCCTTGTGTCTCTAGTCTGAGCACCCCTGAATGTGGCGACAGAGGTGCAAAGAAGCACAGCTGCCAATAGCTTGATAGCAGGTGATTGTGACGGTCAGGAATGTAGTCAAGTTGAGCCAGGGTCACACACCCGTGAGACAGCGGCGTGGTCAGGAGGCAGGCCGGGGTCAGTACCGGGTTAGCAAGCAGAGCGATCTCCAGTAGCAAGCTGGGGTCAGCACCACGAGATCAGGTAGAGAATAGTCAGAGGCAAGCCGAGGTCAGTACTAGGAGATCAGGCAGAGAGTATTTGAAGGCAAACTGAGGTCAGAATCTGGAATCCACAGAGCAAGGTCAGGAGCAAGCTAGGTCAGTAATGGAAGATCAGTCAGTACAAGCAGGAACACAGGTCACAGGAAGCTGAAGAATATCCAGTGATTAGTACACAGCTGAGTCTCCTTTAAATAGGCTGGTTGGCGCCAAAGCATGAAGACGTGCATGCCGATGCGCGATGGCGCATAGGAATGCACCTACGTGTCAGTGCACGCTGGATATTAGCCTGGGCTTGTCTGTGTATTGGTACGTGTGAACGAGCATTAGCTGCACAAGAATTAGCATTAGCTGAAGAGAGATATACGTGAGCTGCAGAAGAATTGGCATTAGCTGCACTAGTTTCCTGACACTCACTTTTTCCTTAAGACCTTTACACAGGATTTCCTGTATAGCTACTCTTGTCCATTCCCCTGTGACTTCATGGGAACTGAATTTGGTTCTCTCTGCACTTCATAAGCCATCATTTCAACCCATTATAGACATGCCTTTCTCTACTGTCACCCACAAAGTTGTGTTTCTTTTAGCCATCGCCACTGCAAGACCACTATCTGAACTTGTGGCCTTATCCTGCAAGGAACCCTATTTGGTTTTGTAAAGGAACAAGGTGGTGTTAGGGCCCAGGACTTCTTTATTGCCAAAGTAGTTTTTCCCTTTCACTTCAAGCAGAACATTGTTTTTCTGTACCTCTCTACAGCTCCAGTTCTCCAAAAGGAAATTTCCTCCCATTACCTGTATGTGGTTTAGTCTGCAAGAGTCTTTCTGTTAGCCAATTCTTTTTCAGGATGACTCATCCCTTTTTGTAGTCCTGGATAGATCCTGTAAGGATACACTAGTTTCTCGTTGCACCATTTCTTGGTGGCTCAAGCAGACCATTATCCAAATTTATGGTCTCAAGGATGAGGTTCCACCTTTACCTACCAAGTCACACTCTACTACGTATGTAAGTGCTTCTTGGGCTTTTGGTATTAAGCGTTTCCCAAATTCACAGGGCTGCTGTCAGGTCCTCTGTTCACGTGTTCTTTATTTTGTACCAGGTGGATGTTGTGGATTAATGCCAGCTTTTGGAGTAAAATAATTTAAGCTACTTTTAAGCTGCAAACAGTCCCAGTCCTATATTGTTTTATTGGGTTTGTTAATCTTTTCTGCATTGCCTACCCCTTAGACTGCTTTTGGATGTCTCAAAGGTTAACCATTTGCCATTTTGAGGATTTACCCCCCCCCTTCATGACCAGGCCTTTTTTTGCTATTCGGCTCTGCACTATTTCAACTGATAATTGCGCAGTCATGCAATGCTGTACCCAAATGAAATTTACATCCTTTTTTTTACATAAGTAGAGCTTTCTTTCGGTGATATTTGATCACCTGTGCATTTTTTATTTTTCCGCACTATAAACAAAAAAGACTGAAAATTTTGATGAAAGCCAATATTTTTTTAAAAAATATTAGTCATAAATTTAAGCCAAAATGTATTCTGCTACATGTTTTTGGTAAAAAAAAAATCCCAATAAGTGTATATTGATTGCTTTGTGTGAACGTTTTAGCGTCTACAAACTGGTATAGATACTGCAATTTACAGCAATTTTTGCTATACAGCACTGCACTAGTTTAACTGACAATTGCACGCTCATGCAATACAGTACATAAATTAAATTTACATCCTTTTTTCACACAAATAGAGCTTTCTTTTGGTGGTATTTGATCACCTGTGCGCTTTTTATTTTTGGCGCTATAAACAAAAAAAGACCGAAAATTTTGAAAAATGATATTTTCTCATTTCTGTCATAAAAAATATCCAAAAAAACTCAAATTTCGTCATAATTTTAGGGCAACATTTGTTCTGCTATTTTTTTTGGTTAAAAAAAATCCCAATAAGTGTATTGATTGCCTTGTGTGAAAGTTATAGCATCTACAAACACTGCTTATAGATAATGGAATTTACAGAGAGCTTTTACTTTTTGACTGCCTATCACATTTCTTGAGATGCTAATATACCAGGACAGTACAAACACTCCCAAATGACCCCTTTTCGGAAAGTAGACTCTCTAAGCTATCTGCTGAGAGACATATTAAGTCCATGGAAGATATATTTTTTTCCACAAGTTTTTGGAAAATGACAAAAACATTTTTTTTTTACACAAAGTTGTCATTTAAATTATATATTTCTCACACAAGCCATGGGTAAATGTGGAATTACACCCCAAAATACATTTTGCTACTTCTACGGAGTATGGGGATACCACATGTGTGAGACTTTTTGGGAGCCTAGCCACACACAGGAGCCTGAAATCCAATGACCACTTTGAAAGCTTGAAGGTGCGTAACTTCCTCATTACACTTTCTCACTACCTATCACAGTTTTGGAGGCCCTGAAATGCCAGGATAGGTTGTTAGGCCCTCTGAGAGCAGCACTAGTACTGGCACTCTGCTGCATATGAGAGTCATCAAAATTTACAGGCAAGTGCTAGCAGAGATCAGGCCTGATTTTGCGAACACTGCGGTTTTGTGTGCAATGTACTGTATCAAGTGACAGTGACCTACTGACACTGCATTTGCTGGGGGAGAAGGGGGGGGGTAAGCATATGGGCTAAACACAAGTGCTGGCAGGTGCTGATCCCACTAACGCTGTGTTTATGGGGACATATAATAATGTGAACGCTGGTATAGTGCTGATCTGATCAAAGATATTGATCCATTCAGACACTATACTAGCAATAGAGGTTTATTGTGTATGAGCGTGTTCCTGGCAATCAAGGGGTTAAATGTGATTACTGGTGTACTGATGGGCAATCTGCCGCTATCTGGGAGGTGTATGAAAACCATGGAAGCATGAATAACGTGTATATATATGTGATTTTGCACACCCATGCCAGCCCTGTAGCAGTATTTCTGTTATAGGGTGGTCAGGAAGCGGTTAAAGAAGCGGCTTGCTTTACTTTAACTGACAATTGCGCAGTCATGCAGTGCTGCATCCAAGTGAAATTTACTTCCTTTTTTTCTCATGAATTGAGCTTTCTTTTGGTGGTATTTGATCACCTGTGCATTTTTAATTTTTTGCACCATGAAAAAAAAAAAGACCGACCATTTTGACAAAAAAATGATATTTTGGACTTTTTGCTATTAAACATGTCCAGAAAAAAATTTAAAAATCGATTTTTGTCACAAAGTTAGACCAAAATGTATTCTATGACATGTCTTTGATAAAAAAAAAAAAAATCCCAATATGTGTAAATATGTGTAAATTAATTGGTTTACGTGAAAGTTATAGCATTTACAAATGGCCGAATAGATACTGGAATTCTTTTTTTTTTAATACTAATAATGGCGGCGAACAGCGACTTACAGCAGGACTGCGGCGGGCATTCTGACACTGGGAGGAACTGACTTGGTGTCACTGGCATCCCCAGTGACACCAATACAGTGATCAGTGCTAAAAAAACAAAAAAACACTGACACTGTAATAATGGCACTGGGCAGGAATGGGTTAACATGAGGGGCAATCAGAGGGTTAACTGTGTGATTGGAGTGTTTTACTAGGGGGCGGGGGGGTATGTTCTTCACTGTAAGCACACTGATCGGGATGGCTGTGCACAGCTATCAGAGCAGTGTGCCCAAACTGACAGGAAGGAGGGCTGTTGGCAAACAAAGCCCTCCTGCCCTGTCGGTGATCACCGGTAATCAACAGGCGCCGGCGGGTAAACACCAGCCAGGATCCGGTGATTGACACCTGCGGCCTAAAGGGTTAACCGCCTCCCGCCCGCCATATAGTAGAATGATGGACGCAAGGCGGTTGTCTCATTCTGGGAGGGCGTCATATGCCGTCCTCCCATTCTAACCGCGCGGGCGATCGGCAGTGCGCTGTGTCCCTCGAACACAGCAAATCACCGATCAACGGAAAGAGCCGAAGATGTCGGCTCGGTCATGTGATCAGCTGTGTCAAATCACAGCTGATCACATGTAAACAGGGAAATGTCGGTTGTCGGCATTTTTCTCCTCATGAGCTGTCACGCTGACAGCTCGTGAGGAGAGGAGAGCCAGTAATCGGCGTTCCTCAGTGGGGACATGTACACAGATCATCAGAGCACTGATGATCAGTGTGCCCTGATGATCTGTGTAGCACCAGCAGTGCCACCTGTCAGTGTCCATCAGTGCCACATTTCAGTGCCCATCTGTGCTTCCATTCAGTGCCAGTCAATGCCACCTATCAGTGCCAGTCAGTGTCGCCTATCAGTGTGCATCAGTGCTGCCTAACAGTGCCGGTCAGTGCCACCTAACAGTGCCCATCAGTGATGCCTGTCAATGCCCATCAGTGCCACCTACCAGTCCCTCCTCATCAGTGCCTATCAATTCCACCTATCAGTGTCCATCAGTGCAGCCTATCAGTGCCCATCACTACAGCCTCATTAGGACACATCAGTGAAGAAGAAAAATCACTTATTTACAAAATTTTATAACAAAAACTAAGAAAAAAACTTTTTTTTTTTTTTCAAAATTTTCAGTGGTTTTTGGTTTAAGAAAAAAAAAAACCCAGAGGTGATTAAATACCACCAAAATAAAGCTCTATCTGTCACAAAAAAATTATAAAATTTCATACGGGTACAGTGTTGCATGACCGTGCAATTGTCATTCAAAGTGTGACAGTGCTGAAAGCTGGAAATTGGCCTGGGCAGGAAGGGGGTAAAAGTGCCCTGTAGGCTAGTGGTTAAAGACCTCCTGTTGCACTTAATGAATGAGGGATACATGTCCAACCCCCCTGTGTTTTTGATCATCCTCTTGGCACTACTTTGCTGCAAAACTGAGGCATGCTGTTTGAAGGAGCTGTTAGCCTGGGCTGACCTTAAGACTTTTGTTTGCCAATGTTCAATCATCCTGTAAGTCTGGGCTTGAAAAGCCGCTCGCCAAATGCGAGGAGAAATTCTCGAGCGGTGAGCACAGATGATGGAGCGGCTGCGCTCCAAGCCTGATTGTGAAGCCGAGTTCCGGTTTCCAGCTTCTTTGGGACCGCTGCTGAGGGGACAGGTGCAGGAGAGGTCCGCTTCATCCGCTGAGCGGAGACACCCTCTCCACCGCCGCGGGGGACTCAAGGAGTAAGTACTGTATACATGTCATATCACTATAATGAAGTACAGGGGAGCTGGGATATACATTACTGTATACAGTTTTATATTTTGGACTCTTTATTCTAAGGAAAAATTTAATTTCATAAGCTTTAAGGGGGCGTGGTTGAGGGCAGGGCTGGGGGCGAGTCGGGGGTGGGGTTGGAGGCGGGCCTGGACAAGGTTGGGTGGGGCAACTGGTGGAGAGTAAGGTTTGTGCCTGGTTAGTAGGTCTAGACTCGAAATTTTAAGCCCTACTGTAGGTTGCAGTCCAACCCAAAGGTAAGACTTGTGTGTCCCTCAATTCACTTCAAGAAAAGGATTTTTATGGCGAGTACAAAATTCCTGTGTTATCTGTTTGACAAAGTTTTGAGAGATTTCCATTCTACATGAATCTAGTTGACTATTAATACCAGTCTTTGTAAATTCAGACATTGCATTGTGGATATTTCTGCTAAAACAACCTTTAAAAAAGCAGAGGGGCACCAAATACTTTATAATTTTACCCAGTTTTACCTTTATATATTAAAGAATGTGTGCTTGTCCAGAATAATTATTAAAATGTTCAGCTAACTTGTGTTGCTTATGACAGATTGAAGAAGATACATGGCAAAAATATTATCTGGAAGGTGTGGCTAATGAGATGTATACAGAATACCTATCCACTGCATTTGTGGGGCTCTCCTTCCCTGCGGTGTGTGAGTAAGTACAAAACATTTTTCTTCGGTACACAGAGGAAGGCACAAATAGGCCATAAGTAAGGTACCCTAAAACATCATTAGAAGATACTTGAAAATAACAGAGGTAGTTCAATGGCAGACAATACTGTACACATTAGTGCTAAGATGCTCAAAAATTCTGATGTGAATTTTCAGAATATTAGTGACAATCTAGCCAAATTAACACTGTGCTGTAAATGCAGCTGTATAATCGTATCTAATCATATGTGTGCTCATTGTCCTACTGTACATTTTACAGATCCTTTCTAGAATGAATGAGGAAGGTCTGCTGCCAGCAATGCATTAATGTGATGGTATGAATGTTAGCACCATTATTTTTCCATTATTCTACTGTTTCCTTGAACATTTCAGGTTGTGCTTTGTGAAGCTGAAGTTGCTGATGATAGCCATAGAATACAAATCTGAAAAAGGGGAAAGCAGGTAAGTCATGACTTGAGAGATGCCTGACAGAATTTTTCTGTATCGTTCTTTTCCTCTTTCAGTTTTTTTGAGTCCATACAAATTGTTAAACCTGGGCCTTCAAAATGCTTCGTTTTCTTTTCACTAGAAATTATATTTTACAGTTCTATGTCTACATCCATTTAAAAAACAGATTCCCTAGTGGAGATAACGCCTACTTTTCTGCATTTGGTCCCTTAAGCTATGTCCAATTCCATTGATAATGGTTCTAATTATAAAGTATATCCTGAGCAAAATTGAAAGTGAGGTTTTTTTCCTATGTTTCTCACATTCTTGAAATCATAATTTTTTTGATTGCATACATAACCAAAAAATGCATATTTGTGACTGCATACTGAATTCAAATTCAAAAACAAGAAATGCTTACATAGTACATGGGACGTAAAGATGACATCATAGTACCAATACAAAATCTAAAATGAGTTTCTGTTACATGATTTTACTCATGTGACATTGCTTCCACAAGTACAACCCTCATGCTCTGATCCTGCTTAACCACCTCACTCCACTTTATTCCATAACCATATTCAACTAAAAAGCCAATCAGCCAGAAGTCCCTGATTTGCTAATAATTGATTTGCTGTTATGTTATAACTAACTTTCCCCCATCCTTATGTTTTGACCCTTTGTTAATTTCCTCCCTCACTTTTATGTTTATTTACTGTTTATTTAATTATTTGTCTAAACCTAACACTGAGCTGTTTTTCTGCTTTTTCAAGAACCATGTGCACACATACCTCTCCAGTACCCATCCCTGTGCAAAGTGAATTACCTAGCGGAGTGCTAAATTGATTAAATGATACTTACAATAAGTTGTAATATACTGAAATATTTGGATTCACACTTTTATTTATGTGCTTATTGTACAGATATTACATCATGAACAGCCTGGGACTAATGTTATAGTCACATTTAAATAAAGTGTGGTGGTGCAACTGGTATTCTTTACTCAGTCTTCTAAATGATTGAGACATTTGGTCTGAGATTGTACTTTTCAAATTTAAAGATCAATACTGCATATAAGACATAATCATTTTGGGCAGAAACATTGCAGTCAACCACTAGACAGCAAATACTTTGCATCATAGTCGGATACCATACTGTGCTTGCACATGGAATCAAATTGTTACATAAACTAAGAGGTAATATAGACTAGCCTGACACCCAGATGAGACATTCTGATGAAGCATGGAATTAAAAAAATGCATCAACTGGCATTGACTTGACAAAAGTTTTTCTTGGCTAGTTGGAAAATTTTTTGCTAATGCAGGGTGCATGTGGGGTACACACTATAAAAACTGACAAATCGCTGTACTAACACTAATTATGTTAATACAGTGATCTCCCCCACTAAGCTATTGTGGTCTGACAGGGGGACTGCCCTCCCGCCAGGACACACTGATCAGTGCTCATAGCCATTGGCTGCGAGCACTGACCAGATGCCGGGCCTCTGGTTTTCCAGCATGCCCGTTCGACAGAAGTCAGACAGGCTGCTGTACACACTGACCAAATGTTGGCTGGTTTCTGTTGAACCGGCTGATATTTGGCCAGTGTGTAGCAGCCTCCTGTGCAACAATTAGCAGATTGTACTTGGTTCACGTGTATGTGTAAAAGGCTGAAAAGGGATTTTCCTAGGGTCTAATGATGGGTTTACAGATCATAGGGACAATTAAAAAGTAGTTCTTCTTTGAGATGTATAACACAATGAGTGTAACGCATTGTGTTACAAAATGTACATAATGATACTTAGTGATAACCAAAATATAATGCACATAATGATATGGGAATAAAAATACAGGGAAGTGAAATGGAGAGGTATGAAGCAGTAATTTTCTGCACACAGATTTTGTTTATAATATTTGTGTCTATTTTTAGTTATCTGTTTTCATAAATTTTATGTATTATTTATGGGGGGCTGGGATGTCTTGGTGTCCATGAATTTCTTATCAAGGTATTTGATTGGAAATCTATATTTTTTTTCTTGTTGTTTGCAGAAGCAGAAAGCGGTATGGCTTTCCACATTAACTGTGCCTAACCCTCCTTCACCAAACTTCACCCTAACCTCTCCTCCTCACCTATGGACTCATAATCAGGAGCTCCCTCTGAAGATTAACACACACAAAAAAACTCTGGCTGTCTCTTATTTCCTCATCTGTGCACATACGCATACATACACGATACATATGTACATATATAAGATCCATATATATGGCTATACATATGTGTGTGTGCATATATATATATATATATATATATATATATATATATATGTACATTTGGATATATATTTATATACACCTGTGGATGTGGAAGATACATAATATAGTCAGTATATGAATTGGATATTTTTATATGTCAAGTCTGATCGCAGTATGAAAGGTTATTTATTGGTATATATGCAATTCACAGAGCCACCAAATTTTACCAAATGCAACATTGTATTACTCATCCAGTCAGATTTTACATCACTACAAAAGTTGCCCATTCTGCCTGATGATCTCTCAGATGCATTTGTGTATATAGATATATATACTGGTATAAGTGCATGGATTCCGTACATATAGTTTTCAACATATGTATATGGATGGGTTTACATGCACCTATATGTGTATGTGTTTGTATATAAATGTGTACACCTATATATATATGTATTGTGCACTGCTGCTGTAACAAGAATACATATGTTCATCCACCAAGGTGAAACTAAAAAGACTTAACTAAGTGTACTTATCTGTCAATGCTCAGCATATTCCTACCCTCCCGCTGTCGCTCTAACTTCTTTGCAGGAATTGTTTTAATCCCGTCACTGCCAGCAGGCTAGAACCCCACTGGTCCCTGGCATCTATGGGGTTAAAGGCAGACTTGTGTTTCTTTGTCAGTTGTCAAATGGAAATTGTCATTTCAGGTCTTTGTTCCCCCAGGTGGCACTGTCTGTGGCAATGTTTTGTGTCTGTCTGTGTCATGGTTTATGTCCTTCCCACTGTTCCCCATCTATCCCGGTGTCTCAGTCTTCAGCA